ACAGTCAGTTGGATCTAACGTGGCACATTTGTTGTTGACATGGAATTTTTTTGGTGACATGACGGAATCAAAAGTTTGACTATAACTAGGGGTGGCAGTTCGGTTTCCGGTTAGCGGCTAACCGGCCGGTTCAACCGATAACCGCCGATTAGTAGCTAACCGAAAACCGACGGTTATTTGTCTCGGTCGGTGTTCGGTAGAATAAAGCTGGTTTTCGGCTAGCCGAGTAACCGAGGATGATTAACCGCAATTACCCGACTAACCGAACATAACCGACCAGCCATCCTTTTAATAAAACCCCAACCCTAATTCACCTCTCCCAATTCCCAACCCTTCTGTTCTGCCCTTCTCTCCTAGCCCTCCTCCATCCAAATCCCAGCCACCCTCCCCGATGATTCCGTCTCCCCTCCCCGCCCTCCTCAACGACCGGGCACCGCGCGTCTCCTCGCCGATTCCTCTCCGACATCGCCATCTCCCATCCCCGACGACCCCAAGCATCGCCATCTCCCATCCCCGATGACTCCGACGACCCCAGGCATCCGCGACCCCAGGCATCGCCATCTCCCATCCGCGACCCTCTGGTGGTTCTTTTTGGAGGAAGGCAGGAGAGAGAAGGAGAGAGAATGAGGAAGAAGATAAGAATTTAGTGGGTTGTAGCTTGTGGGTTTGGATGGCGGAGAAGGAAGGAAGGAAGTAAATCTGCAATGAAATGGAGGAAGGAGATAGAAGGAAGGAAGTAGTGATCGGGTGTTGTGGGTTTGAAATGGAGGTAGGATACAGAAGGAAGAAAAGGGCTGGTCTCCCTCTGGTGGTTTTTTTGGAGGAAGGCAGGAGAGAGAAGGAGGAAGAAGAAGATAAGAATTTAGTGGTAGGGAGAGGAGAGAAGAAGAAGAGGTGGGTGGGGCCAGGGGTGGGTATTGGCCTTATGGGTTTTTTTTTTTTTTTTTAATAAATTCGGTTGTTGCGGTATAACCGAACCAGAACAAAAAATCGGCCGGTTGGTGATCGGCTAACCGCGTCTCCTCTCACGGTCGGTGGTCGGCAGACATGGAGGAAGGTTCGATTTAACCGAAAACCGAAATCGAAACCGACCGACTGCCACCCCTAACTATAAGTCTATAACTAATAGATATTTATTAATTTTAATAAAAAATTAATTATTATTATTTATAAAAACAAAAATTCATACTGGCCACAATATTAATATCATCTTCTTCCAATGGCGCCTAAAAATCCCTAATTTTATTTCTCCACTACCCTCTTAGCTCGCCGCCATGAAAGCTCTCTTCCTCTATTCACAATTCCATCTCCGATGCTTTTTTCCCTGGCCGAACACCCATTCATTAAGGCTAATAGGACGAGTGAGAAGGGGGATTTGAGGCCGCCGAAGATCTATCCATCACTGGCAATAGTGTGGATGGCGGTGGGGGGGTCGCTGTTGTCGATGACAGAGGAACTTGGGCCTCCTCAACCGGCCGGTAAAGTAGAATGTCTCGAGATTCAATATCAATATTTTGACCTAGGACACAGAGTAGAGACGATCAATCCTGAGATTCCACAATTGGATCCCAGTGATTCTCAAGTAGACACCGTGGCATTGTAAATTGCCTGCTCACTATAGATATGGAAGGGCCATCTATCTCTCAATTGGAATGAGGCTCTGCTCTTGGAGAAGCGGACATGGTTGTCTCTCAAGGACGGTTGCTCTCGGTCTCTCTGAATGACTGCGGAGCCGATGATTTGTAGCGTCAGTCACCATCTTATCGGTAAAATCAACAGTCCATGTGCAACGGAGAGCGAGGATATTTGGTCCGCTCTTCTCCATCGTTGTCTTCTTATAATTCCTTCCATACCCTTCCTCCAACGAGCTGTATGCAGCTATCATCAAGCACATGTACTTCACTCAATTTTTCTATTCTTCGGCGACCGGTTCAAGCACCTGGAACTTTGCTCGACTAAGAATTGATTTGGGGAGTCAATAGGATTTGGGGAGTGGGATCCGCTAAGCAGAAAGGAGTTGGGTTTTTTTATTCTCGACTTTGTCAATTTTGGATTGCACATATCTTAATATTCTAGGGATTTCTGGGTATTAAACAGGTTTTGGTTGGGATGAGATAGCATGCCTACCCATGAAAGGGTTGGAAAAATGACACCCCCTATTAATTATAGGTTTTTAAGGTAATTAATTTGTGTTGCATTTACTAATCTATATGAATTAAAAACACATATTAATTACTTTCCTTTTTTCAGTGCACTAGTAGCTGTATCAGTGCACTGGTAGTTGTGTACAGGTGCAATGGTAGATGTATCAGTGCAATGGTAGTTCCAAAAAAGGAACGTAATTAATACGAGTTCAGTATACAGGTGCAATGATAGTTGTATCAGTACAATGGTAGTTAAAAAAAAGGAATGTAATTAAGATGAGTTTTTAATTTCCAAATATTATTAAATGCAACACGAATTTAATACAAAAAATAACTATAATTAATAGGGGTGTCATTTTTCCAACCCCTTAGAAGGGTTAGCATGCTAACCAATCCCGTTTTGGTTGGATGGAAGAAAGAAGAAGGGGGAGGAGATAGGGTGTTAATATGGTAATGTTAGCACCATGCTAACACTTTCATACGAGGCAGGTTTGGGGTGGGTATCTCAATATTCATACTCGCTCCATGACAAGTCGGGTAATTTATCATAGGGCGCGCGTCGGGGCAGGTCGACCAAATAAGTATGTAATTTATGTGAAAAACATTAGAAATATTTGTTCCTTACATGATCAAGAAAGAAACCATAATATGATAAAATGTAGTTAAGTTATTGGAGAAATTGAGGTTTTCACTTATTTACAACTTTATTATAGCGAAAATATGAGGTAATAAGAGGAAAATCCTACGTAATTTGACTAAGATTACATGTAATTTGAGCAAGAACGGGTCGAGAATGAGGCGGGTCAAGGCAGGTCGGGTCGATGAGAAGTACCCATTCCCGCTCCGCCCCGCCTACGGGGCGGGTCGGACCCATCCCAAAACAGGTCAAACAGGCCGGGTAAAACGGGTCAGGTCGAAACTGTCATCCCTATTCCTCCTCCCCCTTTCTCTATGCTGTTGTAATAGGTTACATACACAAATTACAGTTTTTGTACCCAAACTTAATACATCTTAATATTTTGTGCCTAAAATTAAATTTATTACATACAAGTCCTAAAAATATTGATGGAAAATTACATTTTAGTAAAATTTTACAAACATGTCCACTTTTAAAGAAACTTCTGAGCGACTTTAAGAAACTTGTGGCCTAGATTTTATGGTTTGTGAGGTGGATTGTGTAGTTTGTGGGGAGGATTTTGTGGTGTGGATTTTGTAGTTTGTGGGGTGTGTTTTGTGGAGAGGATTGTTTTGTTTAAGATCAAAAGGTTTGGCTAATATATTCTATTTACCCTAAAATATATATAATTTAAAAGTTACTAATTGTATATTTAGATATTTGAAAATGATGTTGTTTCGAAGATTGATTTTGAAGTGTGAATTTCTAATGATCAGTATGTTATTGATTAATAAATATTGAATTTGTTCCACATACTAAAGATATCGTCGATGCGCTCTTATTCTCTAGAAAAATAGTAAGTTTTCTACGAGATACAAATCGCTATAGTTAGTTGTCAACACTATGATTATAACACATCAATTGTGGGCAAATTTATCAACTGGACATCAACGTGGACGTCATAATCTTCAATTGAATTCCACTAGCCTAAACTATCAATTCAGTCTCATTGCACTGGGAACAGATCTCATGCATAACCTTGTGGTGAGTAACCATGCATAATCCAATCACCATCTGCCACATCAACGTCACTTCTCTCTCCTGAAAAGTCCTTAATTTTTCCCACTTAATCTTTAACGGGCGATTTCCCACTCGTTTTAAGTCAAAATTTAAATTTTTGCACAATTAGATCAAATTTGTGGGCAAATTTATCAATTGGACATCAACGTGGACGTCATAATCTTCAATTGAATTCCACTAGCCTAAACTATCAATTCAGTCTCATTGCACTGGGAACAGATCTCATGCATAACCTTGTGGTGAGTAACCATGCATAATCCAATCACCATCTGCCACATCAACGTCACTTCTCTCTCTCTTGGAAAGTCCTTAATTTTTCTCACTTAATCTTTAACGGACGATTTCTCGCACGTTTTAAGTCAAAATTTAAAATTTTGCACAATTAGATCAAATTAATTGTGTTCTTTAAAATGATATCCACTTTGATATTATTTTGGAACAAAAAAATTGAGCCATTTTTTACTAGTATATAGCATATAGTATTAACTGGTATTAAATAAGAGCATACCATATGCTATGAAAACGCTTACAATGGTGGTATGAAGATACCAAGACTATAGGATGATTGAATACATTATAGTATGAGTATACTAATTGTCATTTACGACTTCAACATTGTGTATCACAAGATAACACTTCATACCAGGGTGGTATTGTGTGGTATTTTTTGGTATTGTATTTTGTTCACCCAGAAATTTGTAGAGCCAATAGATCATGATGAACTCGTTCATTCTGTGCAAAAAATTTCAAAAATGACTTAAAACGAAGAAGATACCATATAGTATGCAGTTGGTAACGAGAGGCAAAAAAAATTTCTCAAAAAATATTGAAAATTGATCACATTTTGTAGAACACAACGAACTCGTTCCATCTATGAAAAATAAATTGAAACCCGAGTTAAAACGAAGATGAGTCAATTAAGAAAATAAGTAAAAATAAAATTAGTTTTAATTTTTCAAATTTAGATCTAAATTTTCCGAGTCCACTTAAATTGATAGCTGAAATTTGGTTACTCATTACTGGCCGTGTCTAGAGCCCATTGCACTAGGATAGTAGGACCTCAAATCTTTCGAGCATTGGTTTGGTGAATGGATTGGTCCAACACAAAGAGAAAGAGGCGGACCATTTTGGCATTTTCACATTTGAAACCAGAAAATACAATTACAATTTACAAACCTAGAATAATTTAGACTTCCTTATTCCAACGCAAGCCCCTTCCCAAATTGGCCCATACCCAAACACAGGCCCAAACCAAAATCCAACAACAAAAGCCCCAAAACATGTTACATGCCCAAGCAAAAAAGCCCCAAATACCATCTTTTTCTTCTTCTTTTTCTTAAGCATAGATGTCGGAAGTTGCGACTGGGGTGTGGCACCCAATGAAAATGTCTCTGTAGATTAGCCCAGCCAATCCACCTCTGATTAGAGGGTCGGCCCAGTAGACCCAGTTTCCAGCGAAGTTTTCGACGACGACAGCTGGGCCGAACGATCGGGTCGAGTTCGTAGATCCACCGCTGAATGGGCCGGCGGCCAGAATGTTGGCTCCCACGATGAATCCAATTTCTATGGGCGCAATGGTCCCGAGGGATCCCTTCTTGGGGTCCGCGGCCGTGGCGTAGACCGTGTACACGAGCCCAAAGGTGATCACGATCTCCATCACTAGCCCTTGGATCTCATTCATCCATGTTGCAACTCCATGGGTTGGGATGCTCTATCCCAACGACATCCAAATTTTTGTCATCATTTTGGTCAAATATGATATTGAAAAGGTAAATCTGATCATCATGTTTTAGTTTATGTTAAAATCGATTTTCATAGAATATTTGTCATAATTCATATGTTCATGTGAGTTCAACTCGACTTGAATCAAAATTGAGTTATGTTATAAGTTGATTAATCGGTTTTAACCTTAATTTCTTATAATATGATTTAGTGAAAATATGACCATAAAAACACCTAATTTTGACACCACTGAAAAATTGTATTTCTTTCATGGAAATTTTGTGCATTTCTTTTTCACTTATAATTTTAGATAAATAAGCGAAACCACGCATTGGTTTCGGCATATTCATTACCATGCCACCAGAGACGATTTGGAGGAGAAAGCAGGCGGCGCTGGAGCCAAGACATTGGGCGATCCAGTAGAAGAAGCCAGTTAGGATGGTTATGTTGCCGCTGACGGCCAATGCGAAGGTGACTGCTAGATTCAAGTGGCCTCCTGAGATGTTGGCCGCAACTGAGACTCCCACAAGCAAGGTGAAGGCATGTGCCACTGCGACGGCGACCAAGCCAGGTGGGTCTAGTGTTGCCTCTGGCGCAAGCTTGCTTGTCAAACATTGAGTTAACAACCACAACCCAAATTAAGTCGCTATTAACATCCAAGTTAGCTTCCTCATAACTTTCAAAATCAGCACTTGTTTTGATAAAGTGTGAAACTTAAGTAATTGATGAAAGTTTATTCAAATCCAGTCATATACTCAATTCCTAACACCAGCTAGTATACTATTTTCATATTGTTAATAATCCATTGATCTCGACAATTCGTTCTTCGAAAAAGTGTTTAGAGAATAAATTTACATATCATCTCAAATACCATGTCGATTAGGTAGTGATATTTCATCCCAATAACTCAAATTATTTTTTTGACGATCGTAATCATTGACAAAGCCGCAACCCAATTAAGGGATGGGAAAGAGGGAATAGTTGGACACTCACTGAAAGCGATGGCAGAGCCAACACCAGCAAAAACGAAGAGAAGGGTAGCGATGAACTCAAAGAGGTAGGCCTTGATGGAGCCAACGCTGAAGGAGCCTCCAAGGCGGCCAAATGCAATCTTCACCATTTTTCCTTTTCTACTTCCTCCCTCTCAAACTCTGTCTCAAAAGAACAGTGAAACCTTTATGGGCTTTTGCTGTGTGAATTTTTTTGCCTTCGCTTTTGGAGTGATGGAATTCTACGGCCATTGAATGAACGTATTTATATATGCAAATAAGAGGGGGAAACGACATAGCTAGCAGTAGTGGTTGTCGTATTAGTTGGCTTTTTTTGTATGAAAAAATATGGTGTCACGGCCGGCCACGGTCACCGGCCAAGGGACCCATTTGTAGTCTATAGTGCTCTCCATGGTCTATGATTGGCCACCGACCAACCGCCTTCTGTGATTAATTATCAGGAAAATGATCAATTATGAGCATTATGACAAAGCGCTTATAAATAAACCTCTTTGTTAATGATAATGTATTCATGTCGGATATGATTAAATATTAATCAATTTCATAGGCAGCCAAACCTATGGGAATGAGGTGAGGTGTTTTCATTGGTATTATATATTTTTGGTAAGTACTTTTGCAATAATTACAATGAGATTGATGCTAATTTACCATTCAGTTTGATGAAACGTGTTTTGAACTTTTGATACGATTATATTGAGATAGTAACTCTTTGTATAATCCCATCAAATACACCGAACCGCACACCATCCGCAATCACACAACCCAATCCAACCCACCTACAAGTTCGTGTTGGGTGGGTGTGGGTCATTTTATTCTTCATCCACCACGTAATGGGTGGGTCCAAATCCACCCAAATCCGTATAAACCCACCCACTGCACACCCCTAATATGAATAATATACATGACCGAACCAACGATACAAGGTTTTGTTTTGCCACAGTATGAGTAGTTTTATTATTCCTATAAGAAGCGAAATGGAACAAGGTAAGCTTAAAAGAAGACCATAATACCTGGACCACTTGCATGATAGGCACATTACATGCGACGAATCATTTGCGATGACCGTTCGAATGACCACCGGCAAAAAAAACCATTGATGATGTGTATCATCATCGATTAAAAATCCAGTGTGCTAAATAATAATTCCTTGATGCCATTTCTTGTGCTCAATTAACCACTGATAAGTAACTATCCTAATTAAGTTGGGGAAGTTAGAGGATTAGTATAAAAGGTTTAGGTTCGGTTGAAGAGTTTGTGACTACTTATTAGGGCCTTGGCTCTAGAAAGGCTGCTCATTTTGTTAATTGTTCAATGTACTGATGCATGCAGGAGCTGGCAATCTGACACGCTAAAACACAACACCTAACAATGGCCAAGTGTAACCAATGAAAGGGACTGCAGTATAGGCAAGTTTAATTATCAACCCGGGGTCTAGATCTACTGCTTACTCCGTGATTCTCTATTATCTAGCAAACTAAGTCGAGTGATTGTTGTAAAAAGTAAAAGCAACAAGAAAGTAGTAAATTGTTCGGGTTTCTAAAGCAGGCAAGAGTCACTCGGGATTGAGTCCCCCTAGCCCCTTAGTTAGGTTCAATTGCAATTCCCTGGGTTGATTTACTGCTGATTAGACTGCGGAAGATCTGACAGTAGCTTGGAATCTCTTAAGCTGACCAAGCCCTCTCAGTCTAACTACCCGGCAGACGACTAGTCTTCACCGGGATAGAAAGCTAAGGCTATGAACACAGAACTCCACTACTGGCGCCAAGAACACCAGTACAAAACAGTAAACTGGCTAACTCTCGTATAGCCAATCTCCTACTATCGAATGAAGAAGCTCTAACAACCTAATCAGATTCTATCTATCTCATGTTGAAGCAGAAATTGAGACAAGCTGATCAGACTCAAATCAATTCATTAAACATGCGTCATTCGATTAAAATCAAACAGTAATATCATCCCAAGTCATTACAATCAAATCCCTAACACAAGGAACTAGGGTTCTTCATACCCAAGTGAGAGAAGGGTTCTACTCCATAGAGAGAGAAGAGAAAACAAGAATCGGAGTAGTCATACTCATAACGATGAGGATAATCTGCTCCGGGACGATGATTTCCACTCCTATGACGATCTCCAGGCTCGATTCGATGAAATCCAGCTCTAGGACAGCTTCTAGGATGTGTTCTTCGCACTTTCTCTCTCTAGGGCTCTGTTTTTGCTCTCAAAACACGACTCTCCCACTTTTGGCTCGAATTAGGCTTTAAAACCGACTTTCCCGAGTTGCACGGCCAGGTGCACGGCCGTGCACAACACCATTCTGGCCGTGCACCCTCAAAACGCACCGTATCAATTATTCGGCCTTCATCCACCTTGCACGGCCAGGCGCACGGCCGTGCAAGCTTCAGGGTCTGGCCGTGCATGGCCTCGACATGAGGTGCACGGCCAAATGGCTCAAGTGCACGGCCGTGCAGCCTCCTGGTCTGCCCGTGCACTCCCCAAAAAGCTCGCCCTTCGCCCGTTCTGCGTCCAATCGACCCCAGACTCGCTCCTAAGCCTTCATTCACGTACTAGGACCTGAAATAACACAAACAAGCACAACCTAGCGTGAAATCGGCCTAAAACACGAGAATCAACACCTCAAACGGTGTAAGTATGAGGGTAAAAACATGTGTAAATGACGGTCTATCAAACTCCCCCACACTTAACCGTTTGCTTGTCCCCAAGCAAACCAGGTCAGACACTAGGTAAGCTTACATATTTCAATCAACCAACATTGGGGACAAGTCATAAAGGCACAAAACACGTGAATCGCACTGGTTTTCAAACATCAATACATGCACAACCTCACTAACAACCTGGACAACCACCACAAAGGACATTCGAGTGCAGCAAATCGAGTAAAGGAAGAGTCCCCCTTCTGTTCACTGGCCAACCTAGACTTGATTCAACCACTTACTCAAAACAGTCAACTCATGCATCCAACTCAAGACATCAGAATAGAGACCGAGCAATCTAGGTCCTCACCGGGGTACAAGAGCATATAGAAAATGAAAATGAATCACTCACTCTCGACCAGTGGGGTCAGGACAATTTGATGCGAAAGATGCGCATGCTATTTCTCTCAATACCTATCATCTCTTCACCATGATGGCAGCCTCTAAATGCTAGAGTTCACATATGGGGTGTCACCACTAACTAATCAGGAGGTCTTAGACACAGGTTCAAATGACTGGCTAGGGTCTTGGACATGGGGAAAAGGCCTTTTAGGTGGTGGAAGAATTCATAGCAAAAGGTTCCACATTTCCCAAACACACAAACACAGTCAACAACCCGGTATTTTCTTTCTGCTATCCTGCATTACTCAATATCTCAAGAGCACAAGAGCGAAGGAGGCGTAAACATCAGCATTTCCAAGCCAGACTGCTAAGAAACACTACTTACTGGGCATTATTCAGATTTTTGGTAGTGGCTCTCTTTTGCTTTCAATTTTTTTCTTTGTTTTTCTTTCATTTTTCTTTTCGTTTCCTAAGAGAGCCACCACTTCTGCATAAATTTCAAACACCTGCCCAACTTTTAAGCACTACCTCCAACACTCACATAGACTTTAGCAGAAACAGCAGAGAATATGTAAAAACCACTCTGTGGAACCTTCTAAAAGATGCAAGAAGGGTGATTTTTTCCATTATAGACCAAAAGAAAGGATAACACATGGCTCAAAGGGGCTGACTAGGGGATATGACACATCAGGACAGTCAGTTTTGGGTGTGGGCTAATCCTATGCCCCCATCATCTCAGCTAGTGACAACGTGAATGCTACACATCATGGAAGAGGGATCTATCACACAAGAAAGAAACGAGCAGGCTCAAATCTCACATGGCTACCTATATGCTCTATCTCACATTCTGATACCCTGAACTAGATGCATAAACGACTGTCAAGAACAAGTAATTAGATCAAGTCAGATCAAGTCACAGTTGGCAAGCAAACAGTTGAAAAACTGAACCCCTACATCGTTCTACTGCACATCTCAGTCCTCGTCATAGGTTGTCCTAGTCGCAAACAGGTTGTCATGCATTAATCCGAAAACCAATCAATTCATCCACCAAAACACAGTGCCAATATGATCAAACAGCAGTACTTGGAGCCCTCAAATCGTAAGATTCGGACAGTGGACTAGGCTCCAAGCACCATCAAAAATATTCCAACCGATACAAAACATCCCCCCACACTTAAGCACGACATTGCCCTCAATGGAGTAGAGGGAAAGATAAGGGGAACGATGTTACCGGGTAAGAACACTGCTGGGGAACTGGAAGTGGACCAGTCAGCGAGAAACGAACGGGGAAGTGGTCATTGCTGCACAAATCGAACATCAGAAACACTAGCACACTGGCGTTAGGGATAAGTGTTAGCCCAGACGGCTACATCAAACCACAAAGGAAAAACCAAAAACAAAAAACAAACGACAAAAAGTTCAAGCTCCGCACACATGGAGCAAACACTCAAAAGTCTAAAAAAAACAAACAAAAACAAACACAATGAGACGGGCAACGAGTACAGCCTACTCGTCGCCAAGATCGTCGAGATCGATGTCGTTCATGAACGCATCATCATCAGCAGCGCCAGCCGCACCGTCATGTGGAGGGGAGTCATCCCAGGGAGTCCTCCAAACAGGTGGATCGCCCGGAACCAGCTGAAGCAGGTGCTGCTGAACCTCCTGCATGCGCCGGGAGCGGCGCTTCTCCCGCTCGATATGGGCGAGAGTCACGCCCTGCTGAGCCTGGATCGTGTCCAGCCTGTGCCGGTACTCGGCCTGATCTGCCGCGTACTGCTGCTGGAACTGCATCTGCTGGTCAAGGAGCAGCTGGTTCTGGATCCTCAGCTGCTCGAACTGCTGGGTGAAGTAGTCGTGGCCCTGGAAAGTGGAGCTGCTACCCCCAAAATGGAAGTCAGTCTGTGGGGAGCATCAGCAGCATCAGCAGCAGCATCCACCTCCTCGGGGTCCACCTCATCGGCAGCCTCCTCCTCGGGCTCCGCGGGGATAGGAGGCTCCGGAAATCCCTCGACCCACTGAACACCGTTCCTCTCCCGCAACAGCAGCATCTTCTTGAT